TATTTTCAAAGACCTTTTCTTCGACTGTTGTGATTTGGAATGCCCTATTTTCACTCACTTTTGGAAAGAAACCATCTCGAAGGTTTATTTTCGCTCATTAGACTACTATTGGAAACTGCTGTACAAAAATTGAATGGAAATAAAACTAACTTTATAAAATTGCACTATTTAATGAACGACATTGGGGCATCACTTTTCATCATTGTTCTTTAACAACAAAAAATCACTCGGACAGTTAAACGTTTGCTCGGCACATGTGAAATTGTGGCTAGAGAAAGGAGCATTAACACACAATACGGTGGCAAAATATTATTGAGCATTAACTTGCTCAGTAGCCACATAGAGGCACTAGGAAGCTCTTCTGATGAAAGGTGAGTGATATTTATAATTAACGTCAGGGATTCCAGCGATATCGTTAGGTGGGTAACCGCATATGTTTCTGATTCACTCGCAAAATCATCCGTTTTCTCTTTTTTCTGATAAGATTTTAAGTTTAATCATTAATTTCACTCCCAACAGGCAATCTCCTCGACGAAGATGCCGTTTTGAATTGGATGATGAAACAAAAAATGGACGAAAGCATAGAGGATATCGACCGAGAGAAGCTGTTTGAGTATATTGACTCTAAAGAATTCCTGGCTGTTGTATTCTGTAAGTAAACTGTCATTCGTACTATCGTACTTTCTATTAATTTTGTGAGACGGTTGCGTAACTGAACTTTCGATATGGACTGAGCTAATATTAGTGATTTTCTTTTAGACACGGAGGACGATCCCGGCGTTCCTCGCATCTTGCGCCACGTCGAGCTAATTGACGACGAGGCCGCGCAATACGGAATCAAAATAGTCAAGTGCAGCGACAAGCTCATGGCGAAAAAGTACGGCTTCCGTGACCCCCCAGGAATAACGTACTTTAGAAAAGGAAAACCTATCAAATACGACGGTAAAAAACAAAAACAGTTTCACACAAAGGGTAAACAACTGACTATTTTGGTGTCAATTTCGACTCACTCGATACAAACTGATTCTAATTGAGATTGTGACGGCTATATCCCTATGCTGCCGCGGCGTGTACGATAGCACCATTCGTCTCTAAAATTAGTACGCGCCGCAGCCATCGCAGCGCTGCCGACCGGCGTTCCTCCACTCCCCTCCCTGGTGGGGAGTGGGAAGAGTGGGGGGTTTCCTGCCGCTCGACTGCAGCGCTGCGGAGGCGACGGTGCCTTGTAAACTCCGCCTTTTGGCTTGTTTTCACGAATTTAAAGAAATTCACTTTTGTTTGACCACTTTAAAGTTGTTTACACCCTGCTTTATTCAGTTGCGTTACTCTTCCGGTGTTCTGTTTTATGATGTACATTTTGACGTGTTTCAGGGGACATTGACGATGACGAGGAACTGCTCGATTGGCTGACGGACCCTGAAAATATGGAACTTACAGACCATATCGAGCGTGTCAACAAGAAAATGTTCGCAAAAATCCGTCAAACGTCTGATTACGTTGCAGTCTTTTTCTGTGAGTCTTATGTCTGGACTTTTATATTACCTACTTACGATTGGATCAGAAATCATCAATCGTAAGATACAGCCCATACAAAAACGCGTGATAAACCTCCTGCTGTCCAGATAGTGACGACTGCAAGCAGTGCGCCCGTGTCCTCGCCGAGATAGAGCACATTGATGATGAGGCTGATGGTGCTGGAATCAACTTCGTCAAAATTGACGACAAACAGATGGCCAAGGACTACGGTGTCTTTGCACTGCCGGCTGTCCTTTTCTTCAAAATGGGCACAAAAGATCCAGTAATTTATGCAGGTAACTTAACGTTTCTCTTTAAATTGTCCTCGTTTTTACCGAAAATATTCAAATTAAATTTCGGTCCGTATATTTTCAGGGGATCTTTATGATGAGGGACAACTACTGAGCTGGCTTCTTACGCAGAAGGACCCGGGTGGAGACCTAATTGAAGACCTTGATGGCGAAGACCTTATCAAGCTTATTGAGGAGTCTGACTCGTTAGCTGTGTATTTTTGTAAGTACAGTTTGTTTCTCAATGTCAGCTCTGAACTTTTAAGTGACATTTACTTTTTGAAGGGACTGGTCGGAAGGCAAGCAAAAATCTGTAGCGTGTAAAACAAATATTGCTTTTTGCTGTATCCCAATTACCTTTATGTTACGTGACGCTTGGGAGTAATCGAAATTTTTCGGACGCGTTCTCTGCGACGGCTCTTTGGTCACGGACGCGTGTGTTATCCCCCAGGGAACAAGACGCTTTGCGACATGTGTAGCAGCAAGCAGTTCCGGAAGCAGCGGCGTAAGGAACTACTCGAGGAAAAAGTGACTTCTGCAGAGGGCGGATCCCCGAGTGGAGCGCCCCAAGGGGCGAGTCCGGGGGCAGCCGGTGGAGAGGAGGCTCTGGCAGGCGATGGTATCTCAAAGCTGTGGATTTGGATTAGAAACTTTGTCAAAGAGTTTTGCGAATTAGTTTACGATGATCTCAATTTACTAAAGCAATTGTGATTTGAGTCTAGCTTCTACCTATTTTTGCACAATGCACACGCGACATTCGAACTGCTTCTTTAATGTATAGCATGATGGTGCAAAGCTTTTTAGTTTCTAATCCAGTCTCAGTGTAGAAAATACTTAAGCGCATGCAGTTTTTGAGTGACGGGTGGCTCAGTGCCATTTAGCCGGACCAGGATCACAAGAGCAAAACTGGAAGAATAAGTTCTGTGCAGTCCTTTGGCAGCCCTTTGGCAGCCCTATCTCCCTCTGCCTGTCCATCGCGTAGATCAGCTTCACACCGTGCATGTCGGCGATGCCAGAGCAACCCTCTTATGGCAAAGAGGCTTTAGTTCGGGGGTGTGAAGCAGCTTTTACAATCCAATCTTGATTCCCTCCTGTGTTCGGAACTGGTATGCGGTGTGGTTGCAGTGAAAACCACCCAAATCCCTTCCCTGTATATACACCAGTTTTGTACGACTTTTGACTTTGTTAACTTTTTGGACGGATCAATAATTGTTGACTGCGTTGTTGAGCTCCTGAATACGGGGCAAGAGAATATTATGGTACAGAAGAGGGGTATGACTACCGTTCAATCTATTTTAGACTACGACAAATTAGAAAATACACAGAACAGAAACGCTGTTTGAAGAATTCTCTGCTCCGCAGTCTAGAATTTTAAAAATTCTTCTATTTTGTTTCAGACAGGGCAGACGGTTGTGAACAATGCAAGGAAATCCTGGAAGAACTGGAAAATATCGACGATGACTGCGACAGACACGGTATTATTTTTGTTAAGACACAGGTAAGCCATTACTAAAGTGTTCATCACAACTTTCTGTAGATTCAGCGAGTCATCATTCATCTTCCCGAAAATAAATAAACTAACTTTCTTTAATACACAGGATTTTGACATCGCTGAGGACTACGGTGTGACTGACTTCCCCTGCCTAGTTTATTTTGAAAATCAAATACCAAATGTTTTTGAGGGTACGTAAGAAGCAAATATTTCAATTATACTAAACAAGTAGTTTTATACCTCGAATCAAAACCTATGGAAGTGTGACCTTATAAAACTAATTGTATAGTTTCTGGATTTTAGGTGATCTCGCGGAGGAGGAAGAAGTCTTGCAATGGCTTATCACTCAGCGAACTGAAGACCGAATCGAACTAATTACAAGAGTTATGCTTGAGGCCGCAGTCGAGTCCACGCAATATTTGGCCGTGTACTTTTGTGAGTAAATGCGCAATGGTTTACTGACCTAAACTTCTTGGTACCCAAAAACGAAAACTTTTGATGACTGACTTTTCCAGATAAAAGTAATTGCCACACCTGCGATTTGATCCTGGATGGCTTGGAAAAGGTGGACGATGAATGTGATGTGTACGGTATTCATATGGTGAAAATCCAAGATCCACAACTTGCAAAGCGTTATTCCATTAAGACTTTCCCCGCCATGGTGTACTTCCGTAATGGCAATCCGCTTCTGTTTGAAGGTATCAGGTTAACTGCCCATCACATACACGGTATGTCTAATGTCTCCTCAACACCAGTAATTGAAAACGTTTTCTACTTCTAACAGGGGATCTGCAAAATGAAGAGTCAGTTCTAGAGTGGCTGATCGACGACGACAATCGAGAGTTGGCGGATGAGATCGAAGAGGTCAATGAACGAATGTTGGAGAGACTTTTGGACGAGAGTCTTTACTTGGCAGTGCTCTTTTGTAAGTAATGCACACTGGAAACCCAAGTGTGTGAATGTCGCACACTTACAGGTGTGTGAATATCCATTCGTACCGGGTGATTCAGAGCACGCGCCGCCGTGTTGTGGGTTTGCCTATCCTCGACTCGGCGGGCGCACGGGTGAGAGGTGAGGTGGGGACCCCTCACCTCCTCACCTCTCACCTGTGCGCCCGCCGAGTCGAGGATAGGCAAACCCGCAACACGGCGGCGCGTGCTCTGAATCACCTGGTACACTTACAGGGTAAACGTGTGAATTTTTCCTAGAAATTTTTTTAAGGAAAAATAAACACGGTTTGCCCCGTAAGTGTACGAATGGATATTCACACACCTGCGTGCGACATTCACACACTTGGGTTTCCAGTGCACCATCGATTTAAATTCGACAAAACCATCGTTGCACTGAGATACTTTTCTTATTACAGACGATGACGACTGTCCAGAATGTGACGACATTCTAGAGGAACTAGAGAAAATCGACGGAGAGGTTGATCAATTTGGTAAGTTTCGCAAACTGTGCCTATGACCTCATTAATTTTTTACTGCACTGTTATCTAAATATGCGTTTTACTGGTCTAAAAGGAATCGACATGGTGAAGATTGCGGATCCTGAGGCAGCAGCAAGACACAACATCATAAACTCGCCGTCGCTCGTCTTTTTCCGCAAACGAGTGCCGCTCTTGTTCGACGGTGATCTTTCTGACGAGGAGAAGGTGCTCGCCTGGCTTACCGCTCAAGACGTTTTCGAGATCAAGAACGAGATCGAGGAGGTCAACAGAAAAATGTTGGACAAGCTGCTGGACGAAAACGAGTTTCTTGCCGTTTACTTTTGTAAGTGCCAGAAAGTAGTTGTTATGATTGCTTCTGTTTCTTCATATTTATGACCAAAAACTTTCCCCCTCTAGACGACGAGGATGAGGATGACGGCATAAAGATCCTGGACAGGCTGGAGAGAATCGACGGGGAAACCGACAACATGGACATAACGTTCGTCAAAATGGCGGATCCGCGTTACGCCCGCAAATGGGGTGTCACCAAACTTCCTGCAATCGTCTACTTCAGAAAAAGATTCCCCAGTATTTACAGAGGTAAGCCAAGGAGATAGGTGCGCAGGGTCTTTTTCCTCGGCAGGCGCCCTAGCGTAGGCAACCCATACTGCCCCTACGCTTGGGAGGTGGACTGTTGACAGCCGCGCCGAGGGTGGGGGTGGGGG